TGATGTGAAGGGTATTGTCGATCGAGTGAAGGTTTATGTAGTGTTTTAGGGATTAAACGCGAGTTGAATGTTTTTCTACTTGCTCAGCAATGGACTCTACCGTGTGTCTGTGCTTCGGGGCAAAAGGTGGGTGTATACGCTTGGTGTGTGTGTAGATGTGAAAGGTATTGTCGATCCAGTGAAGGTTGGTGTAGCGTTTTAGGGATTGAGGGTGAGTTTAAGGTTTTTCTACCCGCTCAGCAATGGGCTCTACCGTGTGTCTGTGCTTCGGGGACAAAAGGTGTGTGTGTACGCTTGGTGCGTGTATAGATGTGAAGAGTATTGCCCATCGAGTATACTTTAGTCTAGCGTACATTGTCACGTATATGCGTTTGTTGTGCTCGTGTACTGGATCGGCAGTAGACTCTCCCGGGCAGTGGGTGTACTCCCCGAGAGGTCCATTAACTCCCCCGTCCTGGTTCAGGTATTGGGTGCATGCATGGGAGATTGTGGGGGCTAGTATGTTCACTTGCCATGTGTTCTCAGGGTTTAATTGAGCGATATGTCTGTCTGTGTGTGTGTGAACACTGGAACACTTACCATACATACGCACCACTGTTGTACTATATGCACTGAGTATAGTTAGACCCAGAGTTAGGCCCAGAGTTTGCCAATACTTTACCAGTCATCACCTACAGTCCACCTTAAGGTGTCTATATATCTTAATATAGCTGCCAATTATATTGTACCAGACTATGACACACTATGACTCACCGGTGACTCATGCCTCGACCCAATCGTGGGCTCGGCTCCTATCTACTTTTACCACAGATCCCGCTGTACGGTCCCTTGGGTGACGAGATGGTTGTGCCCCAAAGTAGTTTAGCTCAATTGGTGCGCGCTACAGCCATCCGAGCAGGCAGAGTGATGCGAGAGACAGCCGCAAGGTATGCGTATGGGACATGGACATTCACGTGTGTGAATGTGTCTACGTAGTAGTATGTATATATACCTGCCAAATGTGTGTGTGTGTGTGTTCTGTGTGTGTTTCTACTATACGGTGTATAGTACTGCCAAGGCAGGTGATGGGGAATCTCTGCTGTAATTGCGTTCACCTACACAATACACGCCGCTTTCAATGGCATATTACGATTACGGGTTTATTCGCCAGAAATGCCAGAATATGTATCAGATGTATACTGATAATGCACAAATATTATGTATGCGAATGATACCATGTATTTGCATATGCATTTGCTTACATTCTGTATTCCCACCCAAATTCCCACCCAGCTATGCATCGCACCGCCTAGCAACGTGTTCTGTACCCTTGCTGATATCCTACCACCCATAACACACACACTTCCATCTACATAGACCAGAGGGTTGACTTAATAATAGCCTGATGTATCTCATTAGTGTTTGGTAAGCTATTCACCTGATGTATCTCATTAGTGTCAGGTAAGCTATTCACCTGATGTGTCTCCTTAGTGTTTGGTAAGCTAATCACCTGCTGCATTCTGTGCCCCCCCCCTTCCACCACTGTCACAGTTATAAATCCTTCTACAAACAACGCGAGGAGTACCTCAGCGATATAGTGGCTAAATATAAGGTCCAATCACAATTCGAAGAATTTATGGAAACCGTCATCCAGCCCCGTGAGTCCGATGATGTCACCTAACCCGACCTCGACTCTGTCTCGATTGCCGTCACAGAATACTGTGATATATACATATGCAACTATGGACATAGAGGTTTCTGCTTGAACTAATACACGTTCCATTATAATAAAGATTAGATACGCCCCGGTTGTTGTTTTTGGGTATACGGATTCTTTCATGCATGCGTGGGTATGAATTTTTTATGACTCGCAAGCTCCACCTTATGCGAAGTTCTTTTAAAACGGTGTAGATTTAAAGTACACACTCTCTTCATCGCCACACGCTCACCCGTAAGGGCAGGTGAAAGATTTGTAGCTGGACAACGTGCCTGACTTTGCGTTGGGATATGTACAGGCAATCGTATACGTATTGAGCCGGACTGAATGCATCTTCAGAGAACGATTCAGGAGCACGTTAACCTAGCGGTTTCACGAAAAGCATGAACGCGACCATTGCTACGAATAAAAACGGTGGTCCTCTTCGTCGTCTATATTGTAAAGGTGCTTCAGCAAAGCACCGAGAGAGGCATATATGCTGCCCTGAACGCATGTGTAAGTTATTTGTGTGTGTAAGAAGCTTTATACGTACATGTGTCCAGTGTTTTGCCTTTTGCAATATATATATATATATATATATGCGTGTATGTATGTTTGTATGTGTATATGTATATATATATATATATGTGTGTGTGTGTGTGTGTGTGTAGA